ATAAATGCCAAATACCCAGTTTGATTGATTTTATAACCAAACTAATTCTATGTTTTAAAAAAATGACAATTCATGCATATTAATCACTGAGTCACATATAATATGTCCCCTATTACCATAGTGGCCCACTCTTGAAACAGCAGCTGCGTTGCTGCACACCACAGTTCTGAACATCTTATAATTAATCAATCCTCTATAGTTGGCAGGATCTTGACATGGTTCAAGGTCAACCTTGGATAAGTCAAACACAAAATATCTTTTCAGCATTTTGTTATTGTAAAAGAAACAACTTACTATAAAATTTTCTTTCTTCACTGGAACTATACTACTGCATTATTCTAGAATATAAAGATTTAATTTTAATACAAAACTTTTACTCTGCTTTATGCCATTTTTAACAAACAATCTGAACTTTTTCCTTTCCTACGTCTATAGTTTGTCATTAGTTTAAAAAAAATGTATTGTCATTTGATATTATCAAAATATATAAAAAATTCATGTTTTTATATCTTACTGCATAAGGATTTCCACAGGAGCATACTTTATTTCAATAGCAGAACAGCATGCATCCAGAATATCTTTTTAAGTCAGCAGTGAAGAAGTTAATTCATAGCTGCATTTACTAGTATGAGTTTTATTTATAGTTGACCTGTGGTAAAAGATTTATCTTTCAATTGCTCAACTACTTTTCCAAAGTGTCAAGAAGTCATACTAGTATAAAGTAGATTAATGTAGAAGTAGTTTTTGTTTAAGTAAAGTTTGGAATTTAAAAAAAAAAGGGGGGGCAGTAAGTTAAAAATCATATTTAATCATGTGGAATAGTAAAAGAAGAGGGCTGGAAGGGAGAGTGGAAAGGGGTGGGAGAAGAGGAGAGGAAGAGAGAGAGAGAGAGAGAGAGAGAGAGAGAGAGAGAGAGAGAGAGAGAGAGAGAGAGAGGAAAGAGAGAGGAGAAAGATTGAGATTGATTTTGAGATGGTCAAACATCACATCACCATCCCTCCCCCACCCCCCCCCCAACACACACACACACACACACACTTGGAGTCTGGCACAATATTGTTAAAAAAAAAAAAAGAAGAAGAAGAAGAAAAGATCTTCTACAATCAGAACGCCGGTCCGTTTCCCCTTCCTTAAAAATCCTGAATGACAGTCTCCTGTAAAAGTCTCCTGGCTGCACCCGGAGCGGGATTTCCATGCCTCGGGCTAAGGTGCTAAGAGCATTCTCGCAGCACGACCTTCCCTCCGTCTCCCGCACCTCTCTCTCCGCTCGCCCAGCCTGGAAACCCAGACAAGTTCATGCACCCCCTTCCCCCCGCACCCGCACCCGCCCCGCTCCCCACGCAGCGCGGGTGGCGGACACGCCCTCCGCCCGCCCGGGGACAATTATCTCCGGCGGCAAAGAAAATCAGCCGCAGCCCGGGCGCCGCGGCCGGGAGCCGGAGCCCAGCGGCGCGGAGGGCGGGGGCGCCGCGGCGGGCGGCGGGAGCGTGGCGGGCGGCCGGGGAGGCCTGCGGGGAGCCGCCGCGTGCGCCCCCCGCGCCCCCCGCGCTCCGCAGCCAATCGCCGGCGGGGGCCCGCGTCCCCGCGTCCCCGCGTCCTCACCTCCGCCCGCCCCCGCCCTGCCCCCGCCCCCTCGCCGCGTTCCCTCCCCCAGCAGCCACACGCGCACACGCACACACACAAACAGAGAGAGAAGGGGGGGCAGGGGGAGAGAGAGGAGAGAGAGAGAGAGAGAGGGGAGAGACTCCCCGGCTCCCTCCCTCCCTCGCACACAGCGACTGGAGACGGACGGAGAGCGACGCGCCGGGAGAGGAGAGACCACCGAGCACAGCCCCGCGCTCCCACACAGACACTCACACTCCGCTCCTGCCTCCCCCCGCCTCCTCCTCCTTCCACCCCCACCACCACCACCGTCTCCTCCTCCTCCTCTCCGCAACAAGAAAAAAAAAAAAGCCATTTACAGGTATTTTTTTTTGATCCGCATATTTATTTATCTCCCCCCACCCACCTCCCCAACAGTTTGTTTACAAGTATTAAAGTTGTAATTGGGAGCTGCCAAGACACATCTGGATTTGTGTTTCTTTGTGTTAGGGGTGATGTGCAACTAATTAAAGGCAGACTGGCAGCGTCTGCAAATTCTAAGGCTCCCCAAATAAAAAGAGACTGGTAAGTGATTGTTCTTTCTCTTTCTCTGGCTCTCTCTTTTATTTTATTTTTATTTTTTTATTTTTCTTTTCCTCTTAAAAATGTGTGCTGTCCGTTGGGATTGTAAAAGTAGATTATTTAATGCTGGACTCCAGCTATAAAAGGCGTCGCTGTATTAATTTATTAATTAATCTGCACCCGCCCCTCCTCCTGAATGTTAAATATGACCTTTGATCTCTGTGTCTCTGCTAGACCAGACTGTACCATATTAGACATGTACAGTCACATTGTTTCAAGGCAAAACGGGATCCTGAAGTGTGGGTGTCTAATTCAGCTTTGGAATGGGACTCTAGTTTATCTCTGTGTATTTTATTTTGCTTTTTGAAGAAAAATCCAAACAATAGCTGCGGTTTTAGGGACCTTGTTCATGCTCCAGCGAGGCATTGATTAAACAATAATGACCTGGAATCTGGGCACAGTCATTTTCTACAGTTTCTGGTGGCATTAAATCTTGAGGGAGGAAGGGGGGAGGTGATGGCAAGAAGAAAAGCAAGGGGAGCTTCTGTTTGGGAACACCACTCTCATATTCTGGAAAAAAAAAAAAAAAAAAGCTGTTAAATTATTTCTTTATTTGGAACAAGATCGAAAGACTAAAATGTTGAAAAATTTCCCTCCACTCAATGTGGTGATATTAATGCATGGTTGGCATAACTAGTTTTTTGTTTTTTGTTTTTTTTTTACTGGGTAGCAGTTATTATGGTCTTGGAGTTATAATGTGATTCGCAGAAACTGAAGCTATATGCATATTCTTGCTGTGTGTCTTCCCCCACCCCCTCCCAAGCTTCAAGAATATTTAGCCAGGAGCATTTTGGGGGTACCCTTTGTATTGCCATCAGAGCTCTGAAGGGAGCAGTTTTTCCTAATGCGAAACCACAGAGGTGGTTCCTGACTGATTAGGGACTTGCTGTGATTGAAAGATGCCTGCTAGCTTCTAATCCAGCCTCGGGTGAGGTTCCTTATCTTGATTTACTTTGCCTAATAGGGATTTGTTTACACAAACCCCCTCTTTTTAGGGCACCTCATCAGCAGGTCTTGAAGTTTTTGCACTTGGAGTTTGGGCATAAATGGTTCATTAATCTAATTATAAGCATAATTACTATAATTGATATCCATTTTGAACTGAATATATGAGGCAGAGACTACTGGGCCCCATTTAGAATTCCCTCAACTCCACATTCTAGACCCATATGTGGGCTTCAAAAGATGTCACAAAAAAAGATATTCTGGCCTAAAAATAATAACAATCTGGAAACAAAGAAACTGGTTTTTTAGTTTAATATATACTTTATGTTTTTGCTTTTTCTTCTTAAAAGACTGTGGTGTACCTCTCCCTTTGAAATAAACAACAAAGATACCTTTTCCTACAGCAAAATAATGGTTTATAAGCAAAGAGATGAATGCAAATGTCCAGTTGACATTAAACTTTCCTCTTAATAGGAGCAAAAGAAAAAAAAACATAATTTTGATGGTTATTTCTTCAGGTAAACAACACCTTCCTTAATTTACTTAATGTAAAAGCCAGTGACTGTGAGAAATTCTAAAATAAATAAATAAATAAAAAGTCCCATGCTTTCTCCTTGTGTTGTCTTGGGAAGAGACAGGAACCTCCATTAGGAATTATTGGAAAATATTCTTATGGAGGCTGCATGCACTTGGTTTAAAACCTGTGACATTATTTGTGCTACTTAAAAAAATTTTGTTTAAAAAAATCTAGTCCATATTTCTTTTCTTTCTTTTAAACAAGTAGAACACCATCCTCTCACCCCCACCAAGCCCCACCACCAAATGGCTTGTCCAATTGAGACCTGTCCTTGGTCCTTTGAATTAAGACCCTCACAGAGCCAGCTGTGCTGGGATTCAAACTAATGACCGCAGACACAGAAGGACACTGTGGCAGCTGGTAGCTCTTTTCTCCCCCCTGCTTCTTTTCGTTCAGACTGTATGTGGGCAGCCTCTCTGGCTCTCAGTTGTATTGTGTTTGCTTACAGTTTATACTCGGCTGCATGGTAGACTTTCTCCGTACTTCATTTGCTAATTTCCTGTGCGTTTTCCCTCCCTCGCTGAGCCATGGCTGTTTCCTACTTTGCAGCATTTGCATGCCCAGGCGGCACTTGTTCACACATTTCATAATGTTTAAATGCCCTCTGCTTCTAGGTAGTAGCGCCCTCCCACCCCTGATTTGCATGTCTTTAGCACTCCAATTGCCCTTTTCCCTCGGCATTTGTCACCCCCGTCTTTCCCTCTTTCCTTGGGTATCTGGGCTATTAATACATTTTCTCAGGAGGGTTATAAGAATAGCGGGGAGGAGCTGTGGGTGCGGGAGGGAAGGAGGGAGGGGGGGGGAGCGCGGTTGGGAAGAGGGGAGGGAGGGGGGGTCGTGTCTTGATGATTGTTATGCAAACGACCTGACGGGGAATGTGGGAGCTCTGGGTGTCTGCGGCGGAATAACGGGGGAGGAGGAGGTGGGGGGCGTTTATTTATTTGCAATCTCCTTCCTCGTGCAGCCCGCTGGAATGACTTTCTTTCTTTTAGTTGTCACAGTTGGAGGATAATGCCAAGGAAGACCCAGCCTGGGAGCTCGCCGCCCGTGGTGGAGATGCGCCCCAGAGAGGAATAAAAAAAAAAAAAAAAAAAAAAAAAAAAAAAAAGCCCTCATCTTGCTCTCCCCGCCCGCACCCCCCTTCCCCTCCCCCCACCGCCCCGACATCACCACCATCACCCCCTTCCCCGCCCCGGCGTCGGACCCGGCGGCGCTCCCCGCGTCCACCCTGCACCCCTTCTTCCCGCCCTGCACCATGAACACCAACGTCTGCGTGGAGCCCGGGCCGGGCCCGGAGGCGCCGGGGCTGCCCAAGGAGAGCCACCTGCCCGAGGGCGCCCTCAACAGCCTTGTGGATTACAACTCGGAGATGGAGCGCTACCGCTCCTTCGCCACCTCCTTCTACAAGACCAACGGCGGCGCCTTCCCGCAGGCCGCCAAGATCGCGCGCATCACCACCCCCATCTTCCCCAGCAGCGCCGCCGCCGCCGCGGCCGCCGCGCGCATCGGCATGTCCCCCTGGAGCTGCGACAACGCGGCCACCGCCGCCGCCGCCACCGCCATGCTCTGGGGCAGCGGCGGGGGCGGGGGCGGCGGCGGGGGCGCGGGCGGCGGCGGGGGCGGCGGCGGGGGCGGCGGGGGCGGCAGGAAAGCCTCCTCCGCCGCCGCCTCCGCCTCCGCCTCCGCCTCCTCCTCGGCGATCCTCCCCGCGGGCGGCGGCGGCGGCGGTGGAGGCGGTGGCGGCGGCGGTGGCGGCGGCGGCGGCGGCGGCGGCGGCGGCGGCAGGACCGGCCTGCACCACCGGAACGACTCCCAGCGGCTGGCCAAGGCTGGCTGCCCGCCAGAGCCGTCGCTGCAAATGGCAAACACTAATTTCCTCTCCACCTTGTCCCCCGAGCACTGCAGACCTCTGGCGGGGGAATGCATGAACAAGCTCAAATGCGGCGCCGCCGAAGCGGAGATCATGAATCTCCCCGAGCGCGTGGGGACCTTCTCCGCCATCCCGGCTCTAGGGGGCATCTCGTTACCTCCGGGGGTCATCGTCATGACAGCCCTGCACTCCCCCGCCGCGGCCTCGGCGGCCGTCACAGACAGCGCGTTTCAGATCGCCAACCTGGCGGACTGCCCGCAGAACCACTCCTCCTCCTCCTCGTCCTCCTCCGGGGGAGCCGGCGGCGGGGCCAACCCGGCCAAGAAGAAGAGGAAAAGGTGCGGGGTCTGCGTGCCCTGCAAGAGGCTCATCAACTGTGGCGTCTGCAGCAGTTGCAGGAACCGCAAAACGGGACACCAGATCTGCAAATTTAGGAAATGTGAAGAGCTAAAGAAAAAACCGGGCACTTCGCTAGAGGTCAGAGGAGATGATTTCTTGTTTCCCGGTCTGCCCCCCTCCCTGCTCTCCCCCCTCTCCTCTCCCCTCCAGGGCTTCTTGTCTGGCTTCAAGATGCAGTGCCCCTTCCCCGAAGCTTCTTCGTTCAGGTTGTGAGGTGCCATGGTAGGTGGTGTGCTGGAGGGCACAGGCGTCACCACCTCCCCAGCTGCACTTCCTGTGGACCCGCCCTCCAGAGGGGAAGGGCGTCCCTCCTCTTCATCTCAGAGGGGAAACCTAATGGAATGGGTTTGGGAAAAAAAAAAAAAAATCAGAAGTTTCACATTCAGATGGTAAAACAGGTTCCTTGGTGGTTAAAACACCCCCTCCCTCCCCTTCTGATTATTTTTGAAAGCATCCCTGCCCAAAAGATTGGACACATCACATTCTATATACTTTGATTGGCTAGGAGAGGCTCACTGGTGGCCCAGTTATAACAGTGAGGACATGGTTTGTGGCACACCAGCCTATGTGCCCATTGGAACACACACACACACACACACACACACACACACACACACACAGTAATCATGGAAGCTGAAATACTTGGGTTTTAAAGGGGATTTTTCTACCTGCTTCTAGAATAGTTCTTCCCTTCAACATGGCTCCCATTTTATTTTCTGAAGATCTAGTATTTTTTTTTTTTTTGAGAAAGCCAAATTCCACCTGTAATTGTTAAAGAGATGTTGATTTAGAACAAAGGAATACAATTAGTTCAAGTAATACAGGTGATCCTAATTTTACTCAAGAATTGTTTTACATAGTTTCAGAAAGAGCTCAGTTGCCAAAAGATACATGCTTTGGGCTCTGCTTTGGACAAAGTAACCATTTTGTGGCCACAGAATTGTTCTATAAACAAGCACAGTTCTGGTTGATACCCTGTATGGCCCATAATAGTTTCCTTTTCCTAGATGTCCTTAAAAGAGACAATGTATTGATGATCACTAAAGTAAATGTTAAATTAGACTTTTAATTATGTTAAATACAGAGATTGATGTGTTTGATGGAAACACATCAATGGTAACCTGACCAAAACAAACAGGGCGGAAATGGAAAACCACAGGCAAATGGTTTTGGCGGTATATTTAGCATAGAAATATGAACAAATAATCATAATTGGATTCTTGATGAGTTTCACAGAGTAGATGACTAGATGATCATGTGAATATGAGACCATAAGTGGTAGATTTAGCATTTGGGAGTATTCTGTGGGTTGGTTTGTAGGGTGATAGTGGCTCTCAAGTTATCAGAGAGCCACTATCAGAAAGGCACCTACATGTTCTTTTAAAAAATTGTGAACACTGCTTAAAGGAGTATTATCCACAAAGGACTGGTCTTTAAGAGAATGAAAGCTAAGAGTTGGAGATTCTTGTTGCAGTTTGAACACCAATGAGATACAGATTTTTCAACAAAATTTTATTAATATGAAGTAAAGCAAAAAATACTTTGGGATTCCAAAAATAATCAGTGTATATTGATAGGATTATTGATTGTGATTGGTTCCATCAAAATGTTGTATTTATTCCTCTTTGTATGAGTACTCATCTCTTTGTTGAAAGTTTGACTTTACTCCAGAGCAGTTTATTTCATTTTCTCTGGCAACTCTGCTTCAGCAAAGAGAATAACCATGATTAAAATGCAGGTGCATGTCTTATCTTAGGCCGCAAAAGTTAGTTTTTAGCTTTTGAGTTCTCTTTTTTAGATCAATTTATTGTAACATCTCTAGGTCTCTAAGGCCCATGGGAAATGAAAATTTAGTTCATCCTGAAATTTCCTGTGAATCTGGTTGATAAGTATCACCTGGCTCTTCTTTTTCCTTTTGAATTACAGATATTATCTATAATTATAGATTTGGTGTTGCTGGTAGGCCTTGTCTTTATAGCTAGACCCATGGTGCTGCCTACGTACCAATTTAGGGCATGACCAATGAGTAATTCTGATTCAATTAGTCAACAACCACTCCGAAGGAGCTTAATGTGAGTGCCAATAGGTTTTCTGTACTAGTTTCTATGCTGATTGATCAGTCTAAACACATTCATAAATTTCCTTTCTCTTCCTTTTGGTAGTTTCCCCACAATCTTGTGATAGCTTAGGCCAGTGGTTGGCAAACTCAGTCAACAGAGACAAATATCAACAGTACAACGATTGAACTTTCTTCTGAGAGCCGAAAACCGACTTCTGTGCATGGGCCACAAAGTTTCAATCTCACTGTATGCACGCGCCCGCGCATGGTATTTTGTGGAAGAGTCACACTCAAGGGGCCAAAGAGCCGCATGTGGCTCGCAAGCCGCAGTTTGCCGACCACTGCCTTAGGCATTTCAATCACATATTATTCCATAGCATTGCCTTTTCTAATTGTTTAAAATCCAAGTACTTAAAAGTTCTGTTGCTCTTCAGAAGGGGTGTGAGTGGGAGGGGAAACACATTTCTCTCTTTGTAGAACTCTGAAGAAGTTTTCCTAACCGTACGCTCATCCCACTAGGGAATGGGCCATGGATCAAGGCTAAGTTTATTAGTGAAATGTTCTTTGTCAAAAAGAAAGAAAAAAGTTGTGAGGTTTTTGGTTTGTTTGTTTCATTGACTAAGAGTCTATCTAGGTCATTAATAAAAAGCAATGGTGGCATGATTGCCTCAAACACATGTGTGACCACATAGTTAGGGTTCTAGGAGGCCCGCCGGCCACATGTCAGAGTGACAGGGTTCCCATGGCTGAACCAACGCTGCGCAGTGGTTGTAGGCTGGTGAGAAGTCCTCCTTCTCGTCTGCTTCCCTTTCTGATTGGGTCCCTGTGAGTTCTCATCATCTGTGGAGACGTTTTAGAGATTGGATAGACACCCTCGCTGAGCATGGTGATTTGAGGATTAATGATGGATGCTACCTGTGGATTTCAGGAGTGAGTTCAGTAGTTATTATTTGTTGGCTTTAACTTAGGGACTCCAATTAACATGTGGACCTAATCATTACTTACATTCTTATGTATCCCTTCAGACCTCCTGTGCAATTCTTATATTTGACTTATTCTCATCCCAAAGATTGGAGGCATACTCAGGTTTTCTGGGCGAGTAAACGGAAATGAAGAGACACTCACACGGTTGTTTTGGGATTCTTGCCCACATTGTTTAAAGCCTCCCACCTAGCATTCTTTTCAAAACTCTGTTTTATTTATTTCCACATTTGCTGCCTCGTCTCATGTTAAGAGCATCTTAATGCCTCAGAAATAGGCCTATTAAACCACCCCCTTAATATATTTCATATGATAACAATTCACACAAGACTAATCTAATTTTTCTATGATATTGCACACTATATACTGGCACATAACACTATTCACTTAGTCAGTTACTAAATTTAAAAATCATCCATCATTAATTATTTAAAGGAGTTTTTACGAATGCTGTATCCCCCTTATATGACCAATCGTGTTAAAAACTTGTGTCCTAAACGATCCATATTCCCAAATACTTTAAGAAACATGTGATTTTATATTATGATAAGTTGCATAATAGCACTTTGTGTCATACAAAGGTAATCTTTCAGTTTTTGTATTCACAGCAGTTCTATTTCTGACACTTAACTTTTTAAAAATATCCCAACCTGATATGTATAGCTCAAGGGATAAAATTGTCCCATGGGCAACCCCAGCCTCTTAGGCCCTGAACGTTGTTCAGGTGACATGATTGATCTCTGTGGGACAGCATTAGAGACCACACAGATCTGGTTTCTCTCCCATTAGCTGATTTATGGAATTACATTAGTGAGCAGAGCCTCGGGAGAGTTCCCTGCCCCCAATCTTGGCTCTGCTGTGAGTCACACACACACTAGTTACCCACGCTTCCCTTGTGTCGGTGGGGGGACTTGAAAGGGACACATTAAAATGAAGAGACTGAGGAACTGGAAAAGTCAGGAAAAAAGGACAAGTACGTTCTCCTTCTTTTCTCTCTTTAAGATTTATCCGCTGAATGTACAGGCCAACAGAAACTTTCCATAAGTTCAGTTGAACTTCTAAGGGGTTTGGTGGAAAAAACCAGATAGAGCCCCCAACTTGATAGCTAAGAGTGTTTTAGGGTAGGAAGGACACATTTTATATGCAGGCTAAGTGCTAAGAGCCCCAACCACTTAAATGGCCATGGAGGGATTCTGGACGCAGGCCTTGCCTGCAGCTTGAACAGGAAGATGGCACCTACTTCCTGGAGAAACTCATCTGATGACCATAGTGAAAGAGGTGTGTCACCCAAACTCAGAGTCGGTGTAGTTAAATAATGAAAAAGTTGACGATTGAACATGCCATAAGGTTTTGAAGTTTGGTGACTTGCGCCTGTTTATAGGTAACATACAAATGTTTTACATCTTAAGTGGAAACATTTAGTTGTTTGCCATTTAGATCATAATTTTTAAAAATGAGGATTCAGAGTTTAGTTTAAAGAATCAAAACCATACCTGTATGAAAATGTAAATTTGCGCTTTAATCTCAAAAGGCAAATATGTAACTATCAAAGGGAAAGGAAAACTTTTCAATATATTTAAACAAAATAATAGTATATTAATACTAGGATGTAATAAAAAAATAAGACACCAAATTTCATATAGGATAAGGAAAAAAGCACAGACGAGGGTAGCTTGGACTAAAGTAACCAAATAAATATAGTTGTAGCCAAAGTATGACTGTAATACAAGTTCAATGGAATTATCTTCCCATCACCAGGTTTAATATAAGGTTAGTCAAAGTTGTTTTTAAAGAACCATACATTTTTTGATAATTCCTAAATGAAAATAATACATCAACTTATCCAAATATCATGTAAATTATAAGCAGTCTTTTGAATGTTAATTAAGAATAGTAAAATAAAAGCAATTAAAATTCATTTTTTAAAATTATCTATAAGAATGTTTGTTTGAAATTCACTCATTATCAGACAAAATACAATCAGAAAGCCCATCAGAGCAATAGACAACAACAAACTGTAGACTTTAATCAGAGAAAA